ATTAATTAAGTTAAAAGAATGTCGAGAAATTAATATCCATTATTTTAAAATCTTCCAATTATTTTTCTGGAATGTATGTAATGCAACATAGTCAAATATAAACAACTGTGATGAAAAAAACGGCGTTACAATATTTTACTTGTATTCTAGTATTCTTGCATCTTAGTAAAAAAAAATCGTTCGATCATTTAAAACAATATTTTAGTATGAGATTTTAATTCATTATAAATTATTAACTTTTAATTTTTCACTTTAATTATCCTAACAATTCATCTTCAAATTAATATCAAGGTAAAATTTAATTAATGTTTCATTTAAACGTGTAACATACGAGGACTGACAATTAAGTTCGTAGAAAATATTTATTACAATTACAGAACACATTTATTCGTTATCTAATACACGGTCCCTTTTAAAATAGTCCCTTCTTAACGCAATGCACTTGGTCCAATGTTTTTTCTATTGCAGGAAGCAATCTTCAAAATCATTCTCCGTGAGGCTGTTTGAAACACGCGTCAACTATTCAACCTCCGCTCGTGACCTCCAATGACGATCCTTCATGTCTTTCTTGATCTTGGAGAATAAAAAGAAACGGAGGAGGTCAGATCAGGCCCCCTCTGACTTTTTTCTATTCCCCAAAATCAAGAAAAACATGAAGAATCGTCATTAGAGGTCACGCGCGGAGGTGGAATGGATGACGCGTGCTCTAAACAGTCTCACGGAGAATGATTTTGAAGACTGCTTCCTGCAATGGAAAAAACGTTGGACCAAGTGCATTGCTTTAGGAGGGGACTATTTTGAAAAGAACTGTGTATCAGATAACGAATCAGTGCAATGTTTTTTCCATTGCAGAAAGCAGTCTTCAAAATCATTCTCCGTGAGACTGTTTAGAGCACGCGTCATCCATTCCACCTCCGCTCGTGACCCCCAATGACGATTCTTCATGTCTTTCTTGATTTTGGGGAATAGAAAAAAGTCAGAGGGAGCCCGATCTGACCTCCTCTGTTTTTTTTTCTATTCTTCAAGATCAAGAAAGACATGAAGGATCGTCATTGGAGGTCACGAGCGGAGGTTGAATAGTTGACGCGTGTTTCAAACAGCCTCACGGAGAATGATTTTGAAGA